TGTAAGCAATTTTTTAAAATTCTATGCCTTTAACTACTTTATATATTCTAGCATTTTGATTTGTCTTTTTAATTTCTTCTACAAGAACACATCTTCTACACATCTACAAGATATTAATGATTTATATAAATATTTTTAAAGAAATACCCATTTATAGCTCAGTTTCCCATTTTATTTAAACATTTTTTGCTACCCACAAAAACAGGTGTTTACGGTCTTGAATTTAATGTAAATCTATTTATTTTACCCTCCATTGCAACATTAATTTCATTTTCTGTCTTGACCCTTCTAATATTTTTTACTCATGCTTGCAATTCATCTTTAACTGGAACCAATGTTTTTAAAATCATTTTATGAAGCTCGTTATTTCCCTTATATTGATCTAATTGGTTTGTTGAACTGTCTGGGATTCATTTGTTTTGATTTATTCACTTTTTTGGAAAATATGCACTGTGCTTCAAGCAGAATCTTGAAGTTTAAACAGTTGTCATCCACTGTCCACTGATTTTTTATCCACCCTATACTACTTTAGTTGTCTTAAACTGTCTCTCATCTCAGCTTGTTTTGAGATATATGGAATGGCACAATATAATGTGAATTGAACTCTATGGAAAAAAATATAGAAATATAATAAAACTGAGTACGCATCAGTATCTTCTGTATTTTATAGGCAAAGGGATTGGATTACTCCTTATTCTAAAATGCAAATTCACATATATATATATAAAACAGCTGTAGCTGTAGCTGTAACTTATTTCAAATTATTTTTGAAAAAAAATGTGTGTTCTTTACAGAAAGAAATGTTAAAAATAAAACCATATATAAATTCTGTTAAAACATGAAATAACCTACCATGTCCTCTTTCAGTAATGCCAGTCCTATCTGATCAGCCTGAATAGTCTGTCCTGTACCAAACCTTTGAGGCCCATAATAATTCACAAACCCTTTAGACTGCAATATAAAAAAGACCATAAACACATACAAGGAAAAACTTTAAAAGGAAAAAAATAAATTATATTCCATGTTACTATGATTTGTAGTAAATAACATGTTAGTATCTCCACGGAGCAAACTGTGAAGGAAAAGCCACACTGAAAAGTTTTTAATTTTAAATTAAATATACAGTGATGCGTAAAAGAATTCCAGGTAAATAACAAAACATATTTGCAGAGCACCTTCCAAAAATATTACAATAGCTATGAACTTTTCATTACCATAGTAAATATTTTAATATTTCATCATTACAGTATATTAGGATGAAATTGGAACTTCAAGAGACAATGGAAGATATATGAATGCAAGTTAAAGAGTGGCTTAATATTAATTCATGTTACAGTAACAGGAAGGATTTTAACCTTTACCTTGACATTTTCCAGTGCTTCTTGCACCAATTGTTGAAGATCTGTTGTGTCATCATCATCTGAGTGTTTCCGAAGATCCCTCACAATAATGTCAAAGTGATTTCCCTGCAGGCCACCAAGTCGAAGAGGCTGTGAAACAGGGTGGGTGTGGTGTAGGTAAATTCCTTTATTTTGAAACTCAGGGCACATTTCCCTCAGCCTACCAATAATAATAAAAAAAAACTGGTTAATTAAAAGCTAAGCAATAGTAAGCTTCTCAATGTTATTGCAAACATGAAACAAATGTGGGAATATTAGCTCATGACTTTTCTGGCTTAATGAGGAAGATACAGATCACAAATTAAGAGCAAAGACATCAATTATAAAGTCACCCGACAGCACATTGTACACCCTCACACATAGTTCAAACTGCAGAATTAGAGAGGTGGCAGTGTATTGCATCTGGCCAATCTGGACACAAGATTCTTGGTTCTGAACAGCACAGCACACATTCCGTCGGATCCAGACTTAACTGTGCTTTTTTTAACCTCCAGAACAAAAAGTAATGTGGTTTTCACTATGTCATTTATGTCAATGTGTTTCAGAAATCTGGGACAAAATCAACAGGAACATCTGTATATTTCACGGAACTCTGTACCTCTGTAGAGAAACCTTCTTCACTACCATTGACTGGTATGTGATAGCCCTTTTGTCTTTGATTCCAGCATAGGTGAAATCTGATGGGAGCACACCAAATGCTGAAGCCATGTAGCTGATTGCTTCCAAAGTTTCCAGATTTTCCTTTTGTAGAGTAAAAGCTGCAGAAAATATGACATGGGGTCAGGTACTAAAGTCTGGGTAGTGTCAGTAAAGAATTTTAAGAAGCATTACAGTTGCAATATACTTTTGTTAACTTTTTTTAATTAAAAGGTTGTGTAAAATAACTTGGTAAGATGTAATGATCTTTTATTAGCTGTTACACACACACAATTATTGTAATATTCTGGAAATTTTATTTCTAGAATTAATTAATTTTAAAAAGTCATCTTTTATACAAGTCATGCTTTTTCAAACACAGTATTGGATAATTCTCTTCCTTAGAAAACTTTCCAAGTTAAACATACCTGAAACATATTTATGTCACCATATCGTATGTCATATATGCTGTATATACAGACAATAAAAACATTGCCATTGCTGTCTCATGTACTAGGAAACATCATCAAATGAGGAAATTAAGACATCATGACCAAGAAAAAATTACTACCTATAACATCTAAAATACATTATTTATGTGTACATCTGAAACAAGAATATAAGATATGTTACTTATATTCAAGAGACAAGAATATTTAAAGAAATATAAAAAGTTCTGGTTGATCTCGTACACAAATTCCATTCAATGTTAAATCCATACACTTAAGTGAAAAATTAATAACGCCAATGTAAACGTTAATTTTACAATTTGTTAATTAGAAAAATGTTTAAGTTCTCTAAAGCTTTTTTTCAGTCAAGTACTATAATTCACGGAGGAGCTATGTAAGCATGTGCAGGCAGTAAAAGATCACCTAAACAGGCAAGAAAATGCTTTCGGAGAAAACAGTGTTTCAGGTGTGAAGAATACAGATCACCAATTCAATTTCAGTCTTAACCTGTCTCTGCCCCCGCTGTGATTAAAATATACACAAAGGACTGAAATCTTTAGAGTAGATGATCAGGTGTTTCGAAGATGTAAGGATAGTACGTAATTCAGGCTTTATGAACTCACACCTGGGATTCGATTAATTAAAAAAACATATTTTTGTAAAAACTGCACCAGGTATTAGATCTTGTTTATATTAAGGTCATATCACTGGGCAGTGGTGGACAGTGCGCTATTTTGTCAGTAACCTGCTAATCTGCTTAACAACTGTAGAAAACATGATTTTATTTCTGTACGAAATGCATGTTAAATTAAAAAAATTTAAGTGTTTCAAATGTTTAACTAAGAAGTACTGTAGTCCGCAAAGGAACAAGTAATAGGTTTATTCCATGCTGAAAAGAGAAACCCAACGTTTCGGCTGTGAAGACCGACAGCTTTGTGTTGTGAATCTCTTTTTCTAAGAAAACATTTGTCTGTCAGTCCAATTTGGGGAAGGGGGACTGTTTTTCACTGGGTGGCTTGCCTATTATTCTTTGAAAATGAATTTATCCAGTGGGGCAATTTAACAGACGCCTCAAGCCTTTGAAAGGCTTCTTTGAAAAACTAAAATAGCAAGTATTATGGACACTTTATTGAGATTTTTAGAATTTGATTGATAGGGAATATAATATGGAATCACATATCTAAAGAAATTAATAACAATATATATTCATATACTGTAGCTTAAATCCTGCTAAACTAAAAATTAGACACAAGAAGAGTATTATTGGACAATTTTGTGAGGCTCTGGTGAAATTTCTCTAAACTGGACAGTTAAAGAGGGGACACTTGTGTATCGTCTCCTTGTAAACTTGCAAAAAAGAAACATTCCAATGCACTGATCAGCTTCCTAATCCCTGCCCTGACTACTACCACTCCTGTACTGCCCCTCATTGCGTACCCCAGCCGGGCGCTCTTCGGCCACAGCGCCGGGAGAATGGGCTACATTAATGCAGGGCTTTTGGGCTCACGTGGGTTTGCGCCTTACACCCCGCGGTACCGCTGTGTACATACAGTACGAACATGTTGTGATATTTAGAAATATAAAAAAGGTCAGTTTAGTGTCCATAATATTTGCTATTTTAGTTTTTCAAAGAAATGTTCATTTGTTAAAAGAAAACTCATGGCGATAGGTGGATTTGAACACCTGACCTCAGCCTTATAAGTCAGTTATTTAAGCCATCACACCACCGACACAGTGACACATCAAGTAGTGAAACAGCCGTACACATATCAATAGAAAGTCTTATACTACTGTTTGTGCTACAGTACATGAATATAATTATATCATTATTAATTCATTTAGATAAGTGATTCCATATTATATTCCCTATTAATCAAATTCTAAAAGTATGCTTTTGTTTACTCTGATAACGGGCGTATTCGCAGAAAAGCTTAAAACTATCACTTTTCTCACAAAGTATATAAACGTACAGTAATATGGTCAGGAGCATGTAAAAATGTTTCTGAAATAACCACATGTAAGACTTTGATGCTTAAAATGTTTAGGGAGAAATGGAATACTGGTGTGTATTTTTTCTTTAAACTACCAATACCAGCCATATACAGTACAGTTTACATGATATGTTTATGCTCCTAAATTAATATAGTTTATGACCTTCAGATACATTATGCTCCTCTTCTTTTTATGCTCAGCTACTAAAATTTTAGTTATAAAATTCCATATAAATATTCAATACTAAGTGGATTAAAATGTGCACAGTAAAAAGATTTAATGATTCAATCTTTTCACTACCAACCAATGCAACACAAGTGCCCCTGTCGGTCATTTTCGCCAGCCCATCACGTACCGTGGTACGCCGTGGTGGCCTGTGGGTAGTTGCATGCGGTATGGATTTGTACCCCGAAGTTTGAATAGATGCATCTGTATTGTTACTCTTAACATACACTAAATCTGTTCATCTTCAATTAACACTGTTTTCCTACCTGTATAAATGGTATCATCTTCTTGATAATCGGTAGCTTTCCTTTTCTTGGGTAACATCTTTTTTTCTCGAAATCGCACAGTAATTGCTGTATTTGGTGGACCACCACTGTCCACAGCAGCAAAGCTTTTAGTTTCCACTAGTTTACCAAAGTGCTTGTTGACAAAGTGATGGACTGCTTTTCTGTGTTCTTTATCATTGTCTGGTTTAAACGTAAATGTTGACCTTTGGACTTTGTCATCTAAAAAACGAAAAAAGTCCTCCGACTCCTCCTCTGAAACCAGCTGGGCAAGCATATTATAATGGGGATCTTCCTTTACGAGAATCTCACAATTATTAGTTAATGTCATTAAAAAAGGGAACTTATGTCGAACAGCACGGTGCACACTGGCTCTCTGGTTTTTGTCTGGGTAAGTACCCAGTGATAATTCGGTGCTGCGAACCTTTTCATCCACACTGGAGCCTGGGCATAATCTAATAGTCATAGCATACTGCGTCAGCTCTTCATTCACTGAAGTATCCAAAACAAAGTCCAGATCCAAAGACTCTTCACATGCCCCTGCTATATCAACAGTCTGAAAAGTCTGTATATCATTATTATAGGGTGGCATTACTATTTCTTTCTCAGCATAATGTTCATCCTCCAATGATCTTGCCACCTTTCTATTTTTAATCGTTTCATTTACATAATCTTCACTACATTTAGATATCTGGCACATGTTTTCCAATGAATGTACTAACTGCCCATTCACATTGACTTCTATCACCACAAAGTCCCTTGCTGAATTTTTAATGCTTCCTCGGAAACCTGTGTGACCATTAATATAACACAGTGATGGAGTGCAGGTCTCTTCTTCACTTCCCTCCTCCATTTTGACATTAGAGTTTTCTTGACACCTGCTAAAGGGGAGAGAAAAGGTTTAAAACTAAATGACAAAAACCTGTAATTCCGGGTATATATTTACATGAAAAATTTAGATTCTATTGGATCTTCAAATAGTCCAAAACAGGGTTTTTTAAACAAATCTTTAATCTTTACGAAATGTGGATATACAGTAAAGTAAATGCACATGTCACCGGTGTTCTGGTTTCCTCCCAGAGTCCAAAGACATACTGGTAGGTTAATTGACTGGGAAAAGTGGCCCTGATGTATCGGTCTTGTGATAGACTGGCATCTCATCCAGGGCATACCCTGGCTTGCGGTCATCAGTGGATGAAGCAGATAGAAAATCGATGGATGGGATGGACTGCCAATAGGATGTGAAAAAATGAAACCGCTTGTGATTGAATATAATAAGTACCTAAATGGGTTTGCTAAAGTGTTCATTTTGAAGTATTGTGTAATGAACGTTAACATTTATTTGCGGCAATATTTAAGCTGAACTGCTTTCAAAATTTAGAATTTAACACTTCCTATCGGGTCCATGGAATTCCTTTAGATACCAAACCAAAAAGAAATGGACAATCGTAGACAACTTCTATAGAAACCTGAGAGAGATATTACAAGGTGGCAGCCTTGCTGCCTGACGGGCAAGTCTGACACTTTCAAAAGAGCTGTTTAAAACACAATACATTTTCAAACTTATTTAGCTCTTACACTATTTCTTGAGCCTAAAGAAAACAAATAACATAATGCCTCCAAATCATACATTTAAGACATCGGCAAGAACAACAACGCTATATTCATTGTTCTGTTAATTTGAAGAGCTGTGGGGCGAGTCTTAGATATTTGTAAATCAAACGATCTAAATCATTAACACGTTAAAAAGTGTTTAAAATCTTGGTACAAATCTAGAGGCTCTTGAATTTTCTAAATACCGTTGTATGTGAAACATATACATCAATTATGTATTTTCCGGTCATATAACATTACTGACGCCTTTCAATCATTTACCTTAAACTTCTGCTGCAGGCTTCTAATGTACGTAACACTCCATTTTTTACAACGTGCTTTACGCCTGTATTTCCGTGTCACGTGGTTTACATTTTAAAGGTGACGCTTCAATCGAACTTTACATTTTGTTTTCCGCCGACGAATATTATTTAAAGTAAATCGTCACTGTAACGAGGAAGTGAGAGTTGCTCAATTTGGGTAGTTCCGAAACTTTCTGTGTTCAACATCATGAAATGTAAATCCTGTTTCAGTGTTTATAGGACAGAACACTTACTGCATAATGTAAATTAATTTCAGATAACGGTATGGTATGTGACATCAGACATGATCAGACAGAATGTTTAGCAGACTTTTAGCTTAAATTAAGCGTTTCCAGCAGTAATATGTGAATCTCTGTCCGTTAGGAATCTGTGAGCTTAACTCTTCGTTTAATTGTAGCGTCCTAGAGTTTTGAACGTATCAAATAACGACATTGACAACTATACATAAACTGCCACAGAAAGTTGTAGAAGTAACCTTCTGTTATTTTCATATACGCGATGAGTAAAACGATAACCCCATCCACGTACGTCAGGAATTTAAATCATGGCATGTTTCGTAAACTGGCTGATTTTCTGGACCCTCAAGAAGATTGGAAGAAGATTGCTGTGAATATACAAAAACCATCAGGAGAGCCAAGATATAATCAATTTCATCTGAGGTACTGAACTCGTGTTTTTTTTGTTAAAGACACGGCTAAATACAAATGTCTTAATTTCTTGAGAATTCTAATAATTACCTGATTTGTTGATGCATCAAAAATGATACATCTAAATTATAAATTAAATGTGTCAACGACTGTCTCCTTAGCTACTAGTGATCATCCAAAATAAGTTAATAGTAGCAGTACAATGTTTAATATACATTATATAATCCTGAAATAATGATTTGGCCTAGTGGTGCCGTATTTAATCTGCAAACCTTTTTTTGACCGAAAATTCCCTCTCTATAAATTAACCACTAGTAATAAACTAAGAAGTAACAAACATTTGTGCATAGCAAGTTACTCCAGTACTTCTGCTGTGTTGTATCAACCTTGTACCATTTTCTGAGTTTCAGAGAATTCCCCTGATTTAGGTGTGTTGCCAGAAATGTAACTAATTGGACATCAAGAAATGGGAAAGACTAGTTCATAGTGGGAATGTTCGATACATTGTCATTCCCACCTGTGTCTGTTCATCATTATATGATCAGAGTTGTTTAGTCTGAACAAAAGGGATCAAAATCAAGTTGAGGAGAACATTTTGTATGCTGACGTTATGTTATGAATTATGTTATGTCATTCGTTATGCTTAAAGTACAGTATTTTTTAATCCAAGTGCTGAGTGCAGAATTAGCTGAGCAGTCAGATCAATTAAAGGCATCATTTAGCTCTAGTGCTTTTAGAGTTTAGCTATAATGGGCCCCAGCTGACACAGTGGTACCCAGGTTCCAAGGGTGAAACCACTGTTTTGGGAAAGAAGACAACTGGAGATAAGCATTCTGTATTCTAATTATGAATTGTATTCAATGAATTGAATTTTTCATAATTTCAGTTTTGTTTTTTCATAAATTATAATTACATTTAGTTGATTTAATAAAAGTATGTACTATGTGTTTTATTTTTTACGTGAACTTTATTTTGGATTGCTGTATTTAAAGGCGATTTGAACAACAGGCAGCTATTGGCAAAAGCCCAACGTCTGAATTACTTTATGACTGGGGAACAACAAATTGCACGGTTGGTGATCTTGTGGATATTTTGGTGCAGAACCAGTTACTCTCATCTGCAAGCTTGTTACTTCCAGGTAAATGGAATCTGGTTATAGCAGTTTTACAATGTAAAATAATTAATTAAACCAACAAAAGCAATTTTATTAAACCAATTTTAGTCATTTTTAATAAGGTCAATCAAAATATTTTTACTTAGTATTCTTTTAAAGTAATAATAATGGCATACATGTATAAGGAATTTCCCATGTTTCTATGTTATTTTAGTGACTTATTTAGGTGTTGCCCTCGATTTCTGAAGGATTAGTCAAAATAATGTAAAAACTCTGTCATGTGACATTTCTTGCTATTCATAGTCTACTTTATAAGCACCACAAAAGTGAAAAACAGTTATTTAATCACAGTTTTGGTTTAACAAGAATACCAGATTTATTGAATAAGACAAGCCAGGTTTTCCTGTAGATGCTGTAAAAGAAGCCCCAGTTGCCATAAGGGACAGTCAAGAGGCACAAACCATTCCTGTGGGAAGAACAGTTGAAAGTTATGCCCCTGATAGCACAACACAGCCAGAAGAAGAGGACTTTGATGGCCAAGGTGAGTATGAGAACATATGTTCCCATTATACATAACCTCTGACCATATGAAAGCCCTGTGAACTGGGCTTTTGGCTTTGAGCATCATTCTTTGGATGCTTGTAATTAGTGCTGGACGATAATTATCGCGATATAATTTTCCTCTATATAATTTTAACAAAAAATAGATAAATGCTCGATATATATGTTTATGCTTTGCGCATGATATGCGCATGCGAACAGAATACTGCGTGAGTTCGCGTGCGTGTTGCAGACCGGGCAGCTAATGTGGTGTTGTTTACCGACACGGTGGTGGCTGACAGCATTGTAGTTAGAGTGGAGAAATGAGCGACACTGAAGCAAATGTAGTGCTGCCAACGACCAGCTCGAAGGACGATGACATCGTCGACAGAAAAGGTCATTCAACTTCGGTAATTTGGAGATATTTTGGCTTTTTACGATCAGACATAAAACAGAGCACTTTAAACTTTGCAGTCTGTC